TCATAGGTAATTGTAAACAAAGCTGAGCGTGCGCAGATAAGAGTTGATAAATGCACAGATTGCACGGCATTTATAGTTCGTAGCGTGCCTGCATATTTCCGCGCTTCCACCCTCCCCCTGTCCAGATTCAGCAAACCTTCAGCGCCTCGCAAGCAGCCGAGTACTATCAACTCCACCCCCTCCCCTATTTCTATGACTAATTTGCCTGTAATGATGAACATAATTGCCAGCATTTTATCTTTTACCCCCTCCCTATATAAATTTAATGACCAGAGGAGAATCCATCGAAAGTTACGTATGCTAGTCAGATATTCTTCCGAATTCTCTGGTGAGAATTTTGCAAACTTAAAACAAAATGTTGCGTTGGTTTCATTGCTTTCGCACCCATTTTTTAACGTATTCACTCAAAACCCAAAAGGCGAACCAACAAACATCAAGAGTGTGTGTGCCAAACCGGTTATAGGAGGTTGGAAAACTCATATAAGTAAACAACCACTTGCACAATCATCCAATTTATCTGCCTATGCTTTCTGATTCTTTTCTTCTGAGCAGTTTTGTTTACCTCTATCAGATGGAAGCACACTCTCAGTGTGGTTTGTCTGAAATAACTTTCGACTAGTTTTTGGGCGTGGATTCCACTGGATCCTTGGTTCTCAGGCGTTTTCACAAGCTGGCCTGTGAAATTGATAACGATAGTTTCCAGCGAATCTCGAGACGTTTCCCATGCTTTGCCTTTTAAACAGACTGGATTGCAACTACTCTCAAAGGCTTCGAATGCACTGAGAATAAATAAGTATTTAATCGGCACCAGATGTGGCAATTGTTTCGAGAAACTAGGTAACCGGTTAGTTCAAAAACTGGTGAATGCCGTCAGACGCTTTCGGGTGTAGTTCATTCTGACCCGCGAAGAATCCATTGAGTACCTTAGTTTAGCCGATGCAGAAAAGGACGGTGTGCAGTTGCGTGTCCACTATTTTGATAAAAAAAAAACAATCCTCACAAATGCTCTGTTTGCATATTTATTTTTGCTCATAGTTCTTCCGTTACTTAAAAGGCATTCGCCTTTATCTCACAAACAAGTCAATAGTATTATAAGAAAACATTTAAAAATCGTTATATTTCAGAAGTAGAAAATGCGATTGCTGGAACAAGAAGTTTATTTGCCTAACGTTTCAGCTCCTGTCGAGAACCCTTAATCAGAGATAACCGTAGAATAGGGTGATACCTGCATATATTAGGGTGGACTTTACCTCTTTGGTTTAGTGTCAAAAAAATTGGATCAAATTTCCACATTATTTATGTTTCAGTGTACTTCAGTAATTCAAGACTTTGGCAGAGTATATAACTGAGTTTTCTGATCGGACATGACAGGCTAGAAAAGTCATGAACTCTATATATAACATTTAATTTTCACATAATTTCTCTTGTATTCTTTTGCCACTGTTTTGCATGTTATCGGTATTAAAGTTTACCTAATATATTTTTGCTTTTTCAAGACTACATGAGCCCTTTCGATAGACCTGCGGTCACTAAAGAAGCACCGACGCTAAAGGCTACAGTGGGAAAAACGAATGCAGATAAAACTCTGCAGAAAGAAATGACCGGAGAGCAGACGAATTCTAATTTTACAAAAGCGGCCCAATCTGTCAAAGCCGTCGGGGTGCAGCCAGATGAACCGGAAGATGAAGGACAATCTTCTACTACCCCATCATCCCAGCAACCGGAGGATCCTGTGAAGGATGGTCAAAAATCAATAAAAAATGAAATGGAGATAGTTTGTGAGGAGGGATTTATATGGTACCCAGACAAACGTCTGTGCATTCAAACGCGCTCAAAATGTCCCCGCGGCATGTACATGTCAGTTCGACAAAATTTGTGCATTCCCAAAGACAACCTGCCTTTCAAATGTCCGCCCGGATATGAATATAAGGATGATAAGGGGGATTGTCTGGGTAAACAAATGAATTTTTTTCATTTAACTCTTAAATTGAAGAAAGCCTTGGCTTAAGTCAACACAACATACAGTTTTCGAATATTGCCGACGTTCAGCGAATGTACATGTTAAATTCACTCAAGTATGTCATGAGTGAAAGTTTTACTAAAGCATGGCATTTCAGAATAAGCGTAGTTGGTTGAGGGTGTGTCCTTTGTTGTCCACAGACTAGTATGCTGCAGACGGGGAATCCGCGCTATTCGGTATTCCAAACCACAAAAGCGGCTATTTCAGTTTATAAAAGGCATTTCCCTCTGCTGCCTCATTAACGTTAGACCAGACCTCATTTGTTATACCAAAGAT